TGCACGCTTACATTTGTTGGCCGAATTTTTTTTTTTCAACTTTTGAGCACAACTGTTTCCTGCACTTTGTGTTTATTTTGGCCAGGCCAGGGTATTGTTTTTCTAAATCTTGCTGCATCCCCCCCCCCCCCCCCGAAAAATCAAATGATTGTCTCATTACAGATGAAAATGACAAAAATAAAATTACCTTCGACTTTAAAGCTACAAGTCTATTGAGGAAATACAATTGCATTTGGATTTGACTGTGTTCATTTACATCTATTTATTTTTAGTTGACTAAATATTGGAAATGCATTCCTGTGTTGACAATTAGTCAATAATAAAACATTACATTTTCTGGATAAGAGTAAACGCGTTTCCGTTTAAGAGTAATAAGTTGCAGTTGTCTCCCTTTCCATGAAAAATTAAATTTTTTAATGTATTCTCCCTTTGCAAATAAGAATTACTTCAATATTAGTGCATTATTCAAAATAATCGAAATGCTATATACCGATAAATGCTTATTAATTTACTGTAAATCTAATTAAAAAGAAATATTTAACAAATTTTGCTTTGTTGAAAAAATATCACAGAATATGTTTGTTCCCTGGTTAAGGGTAATGGGATAAAGGTAAATTTCCGGGTTAAGGGTAGTTCCTGGATAAGTGTATGACATACGTTATCTGATATACTTTAAGGCTTTCGTTATCTGATTAACTTATGGCTATTTTTACAACATTTCATACTTTGCAATCTAACTTTATCAGAAGTGCAATCATTTTGAAGTATCCTGATTTCATAGCAAATAAGACATAGTTAAACCCAGCGATAAGTTTGTGTAAGCGTAAGTTTTTTCGGTAATGTGTTTTAAAAACCAAAAAGTAGTCCGTGAATTCTACACCATAGCATAACTTCGGATTCCCTCCTAGCCATCTTTGTAAAAATGATAAACGAACAAAAGACAAACAACAATATACAAAATACAACATAGAAAACTAAAAACTGGGCAACACGAACCCCGACAAAATCTCAGGCTCACCGGAAACTGTATTTGATACCAGTGTTATAGATGAGTCTTAGGAGTTATGTAGACTTATCAATCCTTTAAATAAACTTATTCTAAAATGTTACCAATTCAACGCTGTAATTAGATCTTTTAATATTGTTTTATTGATAGAAATATTGATTTTGTGATCAATAATTTAAAATCATACTAAATATTATTGTTCTACACTTATGCACAGTCACGGTACTACAATCTGTCGTTACCTATATTTTGGCATCGCCCAAGGTCATGTTTTTCTCTGACTGTTAATGACGTTTTTATACAAAATCCATTGGATGTTGGATGTGTACTGATCGATATTTTAGTTTTGGATACATGATTTTTTTATTAGTTGTTATTGGCTTTGAACTAGCTGTCAGTAATTGCGAGTACTCTCATATATGTACTTTGTGTCTTTTGTGTTGTGATGGATGTATAAATACACTGCTACCTCTTGAATGTGTTTTTGTTAGATGTTTTTCTGCTTTGTATCGATCTGATGAATGAAACTCTTTTCAACTGATTTTTATAGTTTGTCCTTATGTTGTTCTGTTCCACCAATGTCCCAGGTTAGTGGAGGGTTGAGAGCTCACATGCATGTTTAACCCCGCTATATTCTTTATGTGCCTGTCCAAAGTCAGGAACCTGTAGTTAAGTGGTTGTCGTTAGTTCGTGTCTGTCATATTTGTTTTTCGTAAATTGTTTTGTTATAAAAAAGTAAAATAACAAAAATATCGAACTCCGAGGAAAATTCTAAACGGAAAGTCCTTAAGCGAATGGCAAAAATCAAAAGCTCAAACACATCAAACGAATGGATAACAACTGTTATATTCCTGACTTGGTACAGGCATTTTCTTATGTAGAAAATGGTGGATTAAACATGGTTTTATAGCTAGCTAAACCTGTCACTTGTATGACAGTCGCATAAAATTCAATTATATTTACAACGATGTGTGAGTTAGGCGGTTAGTTTTCTCATTTGAATTGTTTCATGTCGGGGCCTTTTATATCCGATTATACTGTAAGGGTATTTTCTCATTGTTGAAGGCCTTACCGTTGCCTATAATTGCTTACTAGTACATCCACTTCATTTGAACTTTGGATGATAGTTGTCTCATTGGCAATCCTACCACATCTCCTTATTTTTATATTATACTTATATTATAAACGTTGTATCTTTAGTGAGTTTTTTCACCATCTGGGTCGAAGCCATCATGTGGGTATCACCAACCCAGTAGTCAGCACGCAGTAGTCCGTACTACTTTGCGGAATACAATACCATTAACTCTTTCATTTTCGTATATAAACTGTACTTAAAATGTTAAAATCATCGCAACACTTACGCTTTTTTATCTCCAGTCATTAATAGCTTTTGGGATAACGTTGGAATTTTTGTTCTTAATGCATACAATCTTGTAAATGATTGAGCTTTCAACCGGTTTCATTCGAGTGCCACTGATGAATCTTATGTAAGTCTGGTATCTGTGATGAGTTTTTTTTTACAACCACTGGGACAATACACTGCCGGTTGACGTTTTGCGTCAAAGGTATCAAAAGTCCAGTAATCAGCGCTCCTGACCTAACATGAAGTATCATTGATGCGTTCGGTAATTTCACTCAGGTTTTATATGTCTAAGCATAGATGGCCTTGGCTAGAATTAAAACATTTTACGAATTTTTGGTTTGCAATACTCTTCAACATGGTTACGAAACGAGCAACAGGCACACTAAAATATAATCCAAGTATTTTTGATGAGTTTTGATATCGAATATCGTAGTCTTTTTCAACTCTGAAAACATTACGCAAAGCATTGATAGATCGAACACTTAACGGCAAGACAGCACAAAAAAAGGTTATTTCACGTTAATATTTGAAAAGCAAGAAATAAAATTTAATTAGCAAGATTCATATTGACGACAAATCCTAGAAAACAGACATGAAAACTTTTTTTGCGAAAGACCAACTGTTAAGAATCAATAAATAAAAACTGATATATCGAGAATTCCGAATTTTATTAGGCCAAAATAAAAAGCATGAGTGTCGTCTGGCCTATCAAACATAGTACAAAAACAAATAAATCATCATGTGTTTAGTACATACATGTATATTGTCCCCCTAAGTGATTATTTATAACTCAGTACATGCAAATGTAGCGTTAATAACAACAAGCTTTGGATTGGTTAAAATGTTTACCTGTGAAATTATATGAATTTTTAATGAATAATGAGTACACATGTAAAAATAAATCTTCAAAGATACCATGCTGATAATTTTGTACGCTAGACGCGCGGTTCGTCTACAAAAGACTCATCGGTGATGTTCTAATCAAAAAAGTTAAATTGACATATAAAATACAAAACTGAAGAGCATTGATTTAAAGAAAACTTTATTAAAAACTGTACTATCCCTTGGTTGGTACCACTGATCATAGGTTCTGGCATCATTGAATGATGTACATGTCTGTAAATATCAAATTTACGAATTAGGTAAGAGTACGTAAATTAAGGTTACATATCCTTTATGTAAAGTTATCTTTGAACAGTATTGGATGTTCTGTTTAGGCTCTTTTGAAGCTTTATGCTCTTTTGCAAGTTTATGCTGTTTGTTTTTCAAGTTTTTTTATTACCTTTGTATATTTAAAATTTTCTGCTTTCCAAACTTTTGGTGTCAGTCATGGAAACCTGAAATATGTTAAAAAAAACGTGTCTTGTGCAGAAATATGTATCATACTTTTGTTTTACTGGCATTGTTCGGTACTGCTGTTGGTTGTCTTTAAGTTCCTGATGGTACTATTTGCCAAGTAACCACGTGACATAAGTTATAAAATTTTGTCTTTAAATTTTCAATTCATAAGTTATTTACAGTAGAGGAATAAAGTAAACAGCTATTTAAATGTGTTGTCTAATTGGCAATTATATCACATATTCTTATTCTAATATTTAAATTCAATCTTTATTCCATAAATTTCAGGTAAACTATTTGTGACCCCAAGAGGTGTAAAAGATACAAAGCAAAATGCGAAGGAATCGCATGAACTAAAAAAGGAACGAGACATTACCAACAGGTGTCAGTCACCGTTATAGCTTGCAAAATCTATAAAAAAAAAACGCTTCTAAAGTAAACTGTTTGAAAAATTGACAGGTCATTGGTGTTAAAAAGGGTTGATTAAAATGGGGATCACTAAATTTTTATAACATTTCGATATCACAGTCAAGAGAATGTTATGTTAAAGTGAAACAAAATTTCCTATAAATATAATGAACATCTTTGTTACGTTATAGAGATGCTTTCAAGTCTGTATATCCAAGTCTATTGTTATACGATATAAGACTAAACTAAGCAATTTCCTCGCTTCAGCTTTCAAGATATTGCACGGGACATATCATAACTGATAAGATTTTTCAATTACAATAATTAAACACCTTTGTACAAAGAATGGTAAAATATCATTTACTGAGTCTGAATGCTTACGCTGATTGGCATAATGGGAAACTATACAAACATTGCATTTTACGTTTATCAGTGTTCTTGTCCAAGCAAAGCTTTTAGTAGCTAGTGGAATGAATAGATGTGCTTACTGATGTTATGATGTATTGACAGCCTCTGATTGGCGAGAAATGCTTCGTCAATTGATACTCATCTCTTGTTCGATAAAGAATAGTAACTACCATCGGGTCATCAATCAAGGAGTTTCACAAGTACCCATTAATAGAATATCTAAACTTCAGTCTGGACCTGTCTACCTTGCACTACAACCGGATATTGATTTGATGCCGTATTGCAGGTAAAAATCACCTGGTAATCGCTTCATTTAATTGCACAACAGACACAGGACTGTGTTTATGGAACTAATAGGACTTTTCACACAATATTTACCATATAATTGTAGGATTAATGTCATTGATTACCAGTAATTTGTCGAAAGTATGAGAAATATGATACGAAAACATTTTTATCATTTGAAGAATATGAATAATGAGTAATTTAACTTTGGTTGTGTCTTACATTTTAATCAGTGTTACAATAATTATTTCCTATGGAAAACAAATACGATTAAGTGTTATCTGTGATGAATCATTATATAACCTTTGTGCTAAACAAGTGAGTACCTACGAGAAAACTTATCAAAGATCAGAATCTATTGACAATGTAATATTTCCTATAAAAATTAACAATGGAACTAGTGATTTGCTGTTAAATTATCAGCAATTTAACGTTAGTGATGACTTCTGGAATATATTTGTGGTTTTTGGAGATGACGTGACCACTAATGCCGCTGCAGTTGTAGCCACAACCTACCACATACCTATATTCCTGTACACCACTTCACAGTGGCACAACAATGTAAGTACTTAGAATTTGCATACTATAGGCATCCAACCATCCTGAATACGAAGAAAGTGTACAGACTATCTTTATCATGGCTAGAAACTGCTTCGTTTGTACATTAAATGGGTATAATTAAGTTAAAAAGTAATACAAAATACATTAAATAAAAAAATAAGAAATACAACAATTTGACTTCACAGTTTGTTGTTGAATAAAACATATAAAATGAAGAATAAAAAAAGTTTTCATTTGCATCTTTAAGTATTCTATTCAAATTTCATATTCAATGTTTGATACAGTTCATACTATTTGAATGCATTTCATTGTTTTATATTTAAAAAGATCATAACGTGAATTCAAATTGAAGAAAGCATTTAAAATATCTAATAATTCAAATATTGATAAATGAAGTAAACAAAATCAACTAAGTGGGTTAAAATCTAGGACTCAAATAGAATTATTTCTTTTGAATTTAAACGAAATTGAAATAGTCTTCACCATAGTTATAGTAAAACTGAAATGAACCCAAACTATGCTTTAAAAAAATTATAACTATTTCCATAAAAGTACATAATTCATTTAAAGGACACAAATATAGAAAGATTGTCTAAATCAGGACGTCTAAATCATTATATTCATTTGTCAATTCTCATTAGTAAATTGAAATCAGGCAAGGAAAATCAATGAGACAGCTATTTAAATTCAATCTTTATTCTATAAATTTCAGGTAAACTATGTGTGGCCTCAAGAAGTGTAAAATCGTATTTACAAATGCCTATGCACAACTCTGATTTTCTATTAATATTATACAATCCAGTATTCATTGCACTGGATCAAAAACGTAAAAAAACGATTACTATTCAGTTATTGCAATTCTGTAAGATTATTAATCTCATTAGCATTTTTTGATTGTAGTAAAAAAACGCTTTAGATATTATCTACATAATATTGCCACCTTGAACTTAATTGTCAATATAACTATCATTCTTGTTAAAATCAGGTCATTTCATTGCTTAAAAATAAGGGGAAACAATTAAGAAGATTTCAAAGTGTCAAAATGTTATTTTATTTGGTAAAAGGAAAATAGTCCAACGTGCGCACGATGACTTAGTCGTCTAAAAGCTAAGCAGGCTATAATAAAATCTATGTTGGCGTAATACCATAGGTTAAGTCTAAACTTCACTTTTAAGTATCAAAACTACTTTTAAAAAATAGTAAAGATGACAGTAATGTAACTTGTACGAAACGAAAGAGGTCCATAGAGGATAGTAACGTAGTACAATAAGAAAAAAGTTTATAAACACGTTTTCAATTCAAAGAACATTTGGACATAGAATTTGATGTTCATGGGCCTGGTTTTCGCAACTATCCTAATAAGATATGTCAAAAGATAAACCCTACATACTCAAATTGAGTAACCTCAACAATATTTTTTAAGCTATTTTGTCTTGAGGGTTATCATTAGTTGTCATTGCTGTAACGGGAACATGGCCAATATAAAAAAAAGAACAAAAAATTATAATTTACGTATATTATTCAACACGAATTGACTTTTAAAATTTGAATCATAAAAATATCACAAAAAATCTCAATATGTAGACGCTTTCAAAAAACAAATCCGAGAAAAAGAAAGTTCTGGATCTGCCACTGCCTCTTATATTTTTCTTTCATTTTTCATTTTTCATTCTTCTGTTTTCTTTTTGCAGCAACTTCAATATTGTTTTTCGATTGCCTAAAGTCACGCCTTTCACAGTTTTTATGATAAATACATTTATCGAATAAGATGCATGCTTGTCTTTTTTTTTTATCCTGGCATGATAGAAGATAAGGTGAATATTACGAATATTTTTTTGGTTTTTCGGCGTCGTCATGATTTAGAAACGTACGTTACTATCATCAGTTTAATACCAGTGTATATAAAACCAAACGTTCCATCCAAACCAGAAGAAATATCGTAAGAGGCATGTGTGGTACTTTTGAGTTGATCCGTTTTGTACCATGCATGCAACATTCTAGTTTTCATCATAATTTTGAAATTATCTTTAACGTTGCTATTGTGTTATTTTAAATATTTGCCATACAGGACAATATTATTTCCCGAATTTTGCATGCTCCTTCTTTATACATTGAGCAATATAAATGTCCAATTACCGTGATTTTTCATATGGAATAAACAAGATTTAAGTATTGTTTACTCATCTGTGGTTTCGGCTTAACAGTAACTGTCAAGATAAAAAGCACGATAAGCCTTACTTAAAATTGCATGCATTTTTTAAAATGTTACTAGAATAGGTTTTTTTTTCATTTCTTTGATATTTGAAAAGTATGCTTGTTTAAAATACGAAAAAAAACTTTTAACTTTATGAAAGGTAAACATTGAATACACATTAGTGAATCCCATTTTATGCTTAAAGAACATCATCAATATCAACACACATTGTAGGTTTAGCAGGGACAGAAGCAAGAACATTTAAAAACTCTCTAAAGTAAATCCAATGAAGTTTGAACTTAGTTACTTAATTTATTTTATTCATGTTTTATAATAATCTGTTATTCACGGCTGTACAGAACTTTTATGCGTTATTTTTCTTTCTTTATTGTTTACTAATATTATTGTTTCATTTCTTTTGCGTCAGAGAATGCACATCTTAAATGTCACTATGGAATAAGCAGTGGTATAAATTACATAACGTGTTGATAAGTGGCTGTTTTATGGGCCTGTTGAATTGATTAAAAAGGAGATAAGTTAGCGGCAATAAGTGAAATTAGGCATTAAGCTTAAATCCTAGGCAATAAGCTAACGCCTAGTCAGTAAGTCTATTGTCTAAATGATGTTTGGCATTATTCTTATATCCTAGGCTTTAAGTTTAAATCTTGCCAAATGAGTTAATGCCTAAAATGTAAATGCGAGTAAAAAAAAAGACATTTATTCAAAGTTAAAATACATTTGGGACATAATAACATGATAAAAACAGACGTTTAAAATGTCAGCGACCTGAAATAAGGTCACTAGTTCTGGCCACTTTAATCTTAACTCGGATATAACCAAATCACGACCATTGTCACTTTGCATTTAATGGAGCGCACTAAAAATTGTGAAAACATCAATTAAATAAAATCACCTCAGAAGCACATTTTGACGTAAGAAATCTAATGTTACAAACTTTTGTTATCTCATTTTGGTACACCATAAGAAATACCAGACTCAAGCTAGCGACCAATTCCTAGCGATCATTCTAGCTAGAGACCAGTTCTTGAGACCGATAAAGAACACAATGAAAATCAACTTGTCAAAGAATCATAATGCGGTATGTGTGAAAACCACAAAGAAATTTAAAGCTTTCATCTGGGTTTGATTGGAAATTTATTAAATCAACCTGTCCACTACTGTTGAACTCTTTGGGTAAAATGGGTTTCACTATTACTCCCTTCCCTAAATACTTTTTCTTCATGTTACAATTTTAACAAAGTGAAAGAAATTGTTCGATGGAATCACGAGAAATATTTGCATAGTCATTGTTAAGTTGTTTAAATCATTCAGACTCTGCCGCCATGACCTGTTTATCTGCCTTTTCCAAAGTACCGTACAACTCCTCTAGAAAAACATAAATTTTGAAATTTTCCTCGTCATTCTCCTATACTTTACCTATCAACCTTGTAAAGCCTCAAATGGTAAAAATGTCATACATTTTTTAATTGTAGTAGTCTATAGCTGCCATTTTTTCTGGGGATTCTAAAAGTTAAAAGTTTTATCTTTGTCAAAAGACTATGTACTCTCTTGAGTATATGTTCCTTGTTTTCCGTGAGTAGGAACATTAAGGTCTTGTTTTGGTCCAAGAAAATAATGTTTCATGGGAACCATTTAGATTTGCACATAATGTTTGGAAATACTTGAAATCAAGAAATATAAATGAAATACGTAAGATTTTTGATGTTATGACTTCACAATTACGTCATTAAAACAAATAAAACTGCAGAATTTATGCAGTTTTCCATCGTTATTTCCCATGTGGAAACATCGTGCTCGGCCAAGAAACAACAACATAATTTAAGAGAAGCTTTATAACTACTACTAACAAAATCTCACCAAATATAAAGTTGTTTCTTTGGTGCGCACATACTTTCCTAATCTAATATATACTTAAAAATTGATATAAAACAAGGAAATCAAGAAATTTTACAAAATACACAAATTTGGTCATGGTTTGTTGCCATGGTAAATCGTAAAATGTAAAAAAAAATTATTATTTTTCGGAACACCTTATACCATAGTGTAGTTTAGACATATTGGAGAACATGTATAGTAACTTTTCAATGTGCACCAATATTTGGGCCAAATAAGGGCCTTATTGCCTTAACTCCTTTAGACCACAAAGATTCAAGAATTTTGTCTTCAGTAGCATGTCTCATAAATGATAATAAACCCGGTTAAGAAGTGAAAAAGACAAGATAGCCAGGGGATATTTAACAAAATGTTTAACAGTAATTTTTTTACATATCCAATAAAATCAATGGAAAGATGATGTGAGCAAAAATTCATATCTATATTTGTCTACTTTTGAACAGACCAAAACCAGCTCGACCAGTAGAATGGGAATTTTCTTTAAATAATTTACAGATAGAATCTTCAATCACCCCTCCTATCATTAGATTACAATCACTTGAAACATATTAATTTTTGCATTACCACAAAGAAATACAAGTTTATTATGTTATGAATATGGAAAAATACTAAAATTTGAAAGTCTGTTAAATTAATGTATATTAATATTTGGAATATAATTTACAACAAGAATATTTCACCGAATGTACATGCACTTGGAAGATAAAACAAAAATCTCAAAATTCACCTATTGCCTGAAATGATGTTTGGCAATAGTTTGAATAATCATCAACAAATTTCAGGAAAAAAGCTTAATGCCTGAAAATTTCAGGCAATAACTTAATGCCTAAGTGTTAGCTTATTGCCTAGGATTTAAGCTTAATGCCTAGGTGTTAGCTTATTGCCTAGGATT